AAAAACAGTGTGGGGAGGGAAGTCCACTGGACTATGGTGATGGCACATGGGTGATTGGGTGATGGGAAGCCCACGGGGATTATAACTGAGGTGGAAAAAAGCATAAAATAATGTAAAAATAAACTATTATATTATTAAAAAAATTCATGTCTGGAATCAAATATGCACTGGCCCTTACTGTATGCTTTTGGGCAAATTACTTACTCTTCCTCAGTTTCATTTTTCCCTCCTTAATACCTAACTCATAGGATTATTGTTATGAAAATTACAGGAGATGGTCTATGAACACAACCTGCAATAAATATTTTGGGAAATCTAGAAATATTAGATATATATATATTTTTAATTCTCAGTGATCTAAATCTTATTTTTTTGCTCATCATGAAATCATTGTGGATAATTCTATCAACATTCCTATGAGCCTTCATGAATAACTTAGAGCCCAGTTACATGCCAGCTGACATACCTGTGTTCTACAGCAGCAACTATAAACCCTTGAGATGCCAGTTCCATGCCAATAGCAGAATAAATTGTCCTTCAAGACAAAAAGAGGGGGGCATTCAACCATCAATCATGATCACAATGCTTACATACAAGGCAGGGTCCAAATTAAACCTGGGAACATGGAGGCCACTCAACCCTGAGTAAAGGTTTTGGTTCCCAAAGGGGAACAGTGTTACCCCTCAAGGCATATTTAACAATATCTGGAGGCATTTTCATTTTCACCATTGGGGGAGGATGCTACTGGCATCCAGTGGGTAGAAGGATGTTGCTAAACATCCTATAATGCAAAGGACAACTCACGATTATAAAAAGTTACCCAACCTGAGGTGTCAATAGTACAACAATTGAGCTGCCCTCATGAATTACCTTTGAGAGGGCTTTAATTTTGATTCTGACACTCACCAGGTATAGAATTAGGTAATTACTGAATTTTGTCCTTACCTACAAAATAGAGCTAATAAAGTCTTTGCTTTCAGATGGTTGTAAGGTTTTGATGAGATAATTTATGTAGAAAGTCAGTGTGTCAGTGAAGAGAGGACCTACATTCTGACCACAGTTTGGAATCCTGATTCCTTCTCTTATTGAATGTCTAACCCAGGTAAGACACCTATCTTGTCTCTGTTTCGCTTCTCTGTCTATAGAAGGAGGTGGCTGTGATAAGATTGTACCTGGTGTTGTTATTGTAAGAACTGAGTAAGTTAACATATCTTTAGTGCTTATGCCTATGTTGTGTATAACAGCTGTGTCTGAAATATGATAAATACTTAACACATGTTGCTACCTAAATGTTTAGACAGGGTGATATGGTTAAGGGATCATGCAACTGCATTTATACCCCCTCCTAGGTCTTCATCCTGTACAATCTTTTCATATTATGCATTCTATATGAACTATCAATGGAGAACAAAGGAAGTAGGTAGGAACTCGGACTTTACTGTTGAAGAAGATACAGGATGTATCCAGGAAGGCAAACTGGTGTAGTTAGAGGGGTCAACAAGCCTTTTCTGTAAAAAGCCTAAGTTTTTCCAGTTTTGTGGGCTATATTATTTGACAACTTCTTTACCATTATAGCACAAATGCCACAGACTTGTAAAAAATGGGTATGGCTATGTTCCAATAAAACTTTATAGAAACTGGCAGAGGGCTGGATTTGGTCCTGGGATTCTAACGTGTCAACTACCAGTCTTAAGAAATCAAATAACTAGTTAAACTACAACTAGAATACTCAAGAGATTTTCTTATTATAGATGCTACCCAACTTCTTGCCAGGTAGAAAACACCTTTTACTATCTACAGGCCATACAAGGCTCTGAGATCAAAGCAGTGTGGGGGGGGTGAGGGCAGTTATGAAGCTGGAAGAAGAGAGTGGAGGATGTGAAGTCATAAAAATATGTCACATAGATTCCAGGCCATAAAGAGCATAACTGAGTAAGACCCCCCACCATCCAGCTTCTGCCCCTGTGGGTCTCCCACCACGTTCAAATGAAAGCCAGGTTTCCTATGGGTTACTCCCAGTGTTGGACACAGCCAAGGTGCTTATGCAGGTCCATTCTGGGAGAGGCACAATTCTTTTGACAAATGACTGTGGATTAAGCACTCCTTCCATTAGTGTGACCCATTTTTTCTCAGATCTGTGCTGAAGTCTGAGCTCTTTATACCTTCTTCCTTTTCCATCTTTTTCCCAAGTGCCCAATCTGCATCAGGGTCTCTGAAGACTTTGCATCTTTTCCTGCTCCTGTCTTTCATAAACGTCTTTCACAGCACATCCAAGATTGGCTGTCTATTTCTGGGAAGATCTAAACTAACACAGGATGATCTTGAGACTATGTTATATTGTATTGTATTGCCTTTTATTATATATTATAGGACATGTTATATTATATGCATGTTATATAATATGCATATATTATTTATTATACACAGTATAATATAGGACAATCAGAAATGCAACACACTCCCTCTTCTATAGGAAGACAGTCTTAAAGAGTTGTAAAGAGGGAATGAAATTGATGAGACTGGGCTAGAACTGATCAATATCCTTCAAAGGAGCAACATGACTCTCCAAATCTACTATTCTTTTTTTTGGAGGGAGGGAGGGAAGAGAGAAATGTTTCCAGTCACTGCTCTGTAAGGATTAAAATCATTTAATCCCTTAAATATTACCTGAATGCTCCAAGGCCATGAGAAAAAATAATAAGTGGGTATTTTTCACCAGTCCTCAGAGGGGAGTTCCAGCTTGCAGGAATGTTGGTTGAACCTAGATAACAATGTGAGATGGTAATTTGTGCTTTCTCTGATAATTTAAAATAACAAGATTTAACATAATAACTGTTAAATAATTTCAAATAAAAAATCCTGACCATGAACTTTATGCTTTTTTAGAGACTACATTCTTTAGTAAATTCACTAAAAAGTCTGTTATTGAGAAACTTAGCAACAGAGGACTTAAATCACCTGTTTTTTCATAAAACACCGTAGGAACATTATCCATTCCCACAGCCATTTTTCAACTTAAAATGAGACATTTTCCTACTTAGAGTTGTGTGCAGGAAACCTGTTTTTAGTACTATTCCCAGGTTTGGGCAAAGCTTCCACTGGAAAGGTTTGAAACCAAACTACAGCTTGGGCATATTATAGAGAGCCAGAAACTTCAAATTGGAAACTCCTCTCATTCCAACTTGGTCATGATTCAGAGAAAGGTGGAGAGTCCTGGATGTCATACTCAGCCAGGACACTGAATGTAGCTCTGTTACTTATTAACCACTGATCTTGGACAAGATAAAATAATTCTGAATTTCAGACACTTATTTTGTAAAAGAGGTAAAGCCACCCAGCTCATAGGATTCTTATGAGAATTATATGTAATTAGGCAAAATATATATGACTCCCACCTAGACACATAACAAAGGGCATTATTGTCATCATTATATCATCAATAATTTGTGTTTCCTTTTCATTTATAAAAAGGACTTTTACTTATTAAGAGTGAATGTGATGATTGCTATAGAAGTGATGGTAAGCTGTGCAACACCACAGACATCTGTAGCTATAGTATTTTCATCATTTTCTATCATAAAGTAGTTTTTAAGAAAGTTCCAAGGAGATAATTAAAACAAGTGCCAAATGCCTTAGGTGGTTTTGAAGAAAAAAATAGAAGACATTTTCTACACTAGTCTAAACGTAGTGTCTGTTCAGAGAGTAACAAAGGGAAAGTCATTATTAGTAAAATAAAGACACATGAAGTGACGAATGCACATCCAACTACTTTAGTGACAGAGGCTGATGTCTGGTGGAGTCTCCTAGTTTCTAAGCAATTAGCTTTCACTCTCTTGGTTTGGATCTGGAGTGTAACCGTGGCTTCTACTTTCTTTTTGTCTGATTACACAAAGCTCTTTAGCACAAGAGCAAAAGGATGGGTCACCTGAGTTAAGTTGCTCTGCTTCCTTCCCATATTACCTCTCCCTATAGTACACTAGAAGGAAAATGAAAGATCAGCCAGAGAGAAGTTAGTATGAGGCTAATATTTTCACTTCCATTGCCCTGGAAGCCATGGGGCAGTCATGAGGACCGGACCTATTCCATCAATGAGAACCCTTGATTCTCTAAGAGATCCTACGTCTTTCGGACATACATTGTATTTTACGAGAAGTTTAGACTGCAGAGACTCTACCTTGGCCTTCTCACTGCTTGAAACTCTTGCTGTTTTAAAATACTTCTTATAGCTTAGAACTTCTAAAGCCAGATCAATAGAAATCTTACCAAAGAAAAATTGCAAAATTTTGCCCATAAACCTCTGGATTCCAAGAAATTTACTAAGACCAAGAAAATATTCTTTGTTTGGTATCCAAACGGTGTCAGAGCGATTATCACCTTTGGCTGGATAATACAAACGTAAGAAGGTGCTCTGTAAGGAAAAAAAGTAATGTCCTTTTAGTTAGTTGGTTCATGTTCAACAGCTATTTTGCATATGGGCAGACCCAAATACCTCTCTTGCTCAGGAAAAGCTGCCATAGTGATGGCATACAGTTGAAAAGAGAGAAAACTAAAACACTAATGTGACTTCTCAGAGAAAAGAAATTGTGAACAGCCTGGTTCACGTCACTATGGAAAGGATAAAAGGGGTTTACCATGACAGCAGTGAATTAGTCACATGTGACTAGCCAAAGATTTCCTTTGAAATAAATGGCAAAATGAGTCACTCTCAGATCAGGTCAAATTCAAGTTTCAAAACCTTTTAGCAGGGTCATAGCAACAGCCACTATTAGAAAATAAAGGTAAAGAGTATTAAAACATTACCTTTTTAGTGTAGTTAGACATCAAGTCTGTACAACCGACAGAAAAGGGTCCATTCCCTCGGGGGATCTTAGTTTGGCCACAGTTTGAAGCATTCATCAGAGCCTGTACTTTATTTAACCATACTGAAACACAGGTAGATATCATCTCAGTTGTCATCTACAAAAATCGCCCTCTCCCTTCCCCCGCCCCCACTTGATTAAGCAAAAGAAGTTCCAGGTAATCAAGTCATACCCCATAGTTTTGACCACCTTCATTTCTTTACCTTCTGGTCAAATAATTATGGAGGGTCTACTGTATGCAAACTACAATGTGGGGATAAAGATTCTCTTCTCCCAAAACACACACTGACAGTCCTGAAGCCTTGACTTACTTTCTACTCCAATCTAAAATGTATTTAAATCATTTCCCAAATCTGTTTTTTTCCTAAGCATAAACTTTATCTCACATTTCTCACTGGGTATCTCCACAAATGTCCTTCCCTTCAGACCATCAAAGTCCAAATTGAAACTAAAGGAACATTTTCCAATTCCTCCTTCTGCTCCAAAAGCACAAACTGCAAGTCTAGCATCCCTGATCTCAGGCAACCCAAGTCAAAAACTTGGCAGGCCTCTATACTACCATTCTCATCAACCCTCTACCATTCTCATCAACCCTCTACTTCCAACCAAGTCGCAATTTTAAACATTTGTATTTACTTCTAATTTTCTTTCCAATACGTTCCTATCCCTCCAGTCCAACTGTCTCATTTACACTTGCCATCTCTCCTGATTATCCTAATTGCCTTGGAACTTTGCCCCTTCAATGCATCCTTCCCACAACTGCAGTGATTTAAAACACAATCTCACCAGGTGATTCTTTTTAAAATCCTTTCATGGCTTTCTGTCACCAGATGGTGTTTCTTGAAGAGGGAATGGATTGGAGTCTGTAGGTGGTACTGCAATCTACACGTCTCCCTGAGCTGCACCCCTCACCACTTGAGGCACAAATGCAGTCTCTTTGCAGTGTTCTGGGGTTAAAATGCATAAAGGTTCACAGACTCGTGAGTTACGCCCCAAGTTTCTAGACATAGTTGGAAAGGCTCTTCATGATGTAGTGGTTCACTGTCTCGTAATTTCCCTGCTTTCTCCCTTTAAGTTACCTCCTTTCCAAGTGCACCAGCATTTCCAGGCCATTCATTGGGCTGGAATGGCCTGGAAATACACTTTTCTAAATGCTACTCCTTGGGCTTGACATTCCCATAGTAAACTCCTAATTCAAGATTCAATGTCTCGATCAACGGCAACTCTTCTCTGTAGACTTTCCTGATCCCTTGACTTCTTCATTTCATCCTCAACATTAAATCAATTCCATGTGTTTCTGTAATACCCCCTACCCTATTATATTACATGTTTGCACACTGTCTCCCACACTCAGCTGTTTTTCTAGAGCCTTAGGTTTTAACACCATGGTTGCCACAGTTATTGTTCCGTACACATTTGTGAAAATTAACTAAGCTTTTTTGCTGCTAGTCTCTGTTGTCAGATACTTCATGGCATGCATTCTTCTACTCACTGGTGCTAAAACATTTTCTTGAGTGGCCAAACCCTTCTACACACCTGCCTGGTCACTGTTGGCCTACTTTCTGAGCCTCAATTCAGTTTGTATTTAATTTCAAGTAGGTGAGTCCAAATACAGTATATCCAGACTCCCAGTTTTTTAGATTCAGCCTGTCACACCTTCCCACACATTCTACTGGAATTTAGAAGGAGACTGAGCCCCTGCTGAATCCTTCATGCTTGCTACCACACTCTGTCACTTACACACCCAGAAGTGGGTTAGGTATGATGTCCATATCATCCAGAAAGGTGATCTGGAACATCACCACAAAGGTTTTGAGTCACGAGGAGCTTATTTGCATCCTTCACATTGGTGCTTTATCACCTGCCAATGATGAACTTTTCAACACCCGAGGCCCTGCTACTCAAAGACCACACCTCACCAAGATCCGGCACAACTGACATCACCCAGGAACTTGGAAATCAGGTTCTAGGGCCTTATCTCAATTCTACTGAATCATAAAATGTGTTCCTCCTAAATTTGGTGCCTGGGCTAAGGAACCAGATCACCTGGTTGGGCACAAGGGACAACAATTCATGGTCAAATGGTAGAAAACAGTTCCATGGAAGGCCGAAAGTAGAATCAACAAAACTTAATTATTGTTCGGTTAATCCTACTTTAGATTCCAGCTATACCTTTGCAAGCTGTGATACTCTGGTCTAGGCAATTTACTCATCTGCTCCTCATAGTTAAAGTAGGAATAAAAGTAATTAACCAGCCTACAGAAAGGCAAATCACAACATGAAGTGAAAATATGTCAAGTGCCTAGCGTAGAATAGGCAGACAAATGATATTATTTGTCCCCTAACTCAAATTAACTAACTCTGGCTATATAAATTCGAGTTCTTAGAGGAGTTGTAGCAGATCTAAACTAGGCTATACCATATTCCTCTTAGGCAGATGCAAAATTCAAGGCATTTCCTTGGAGATTTAAAAAAAAAAAAAAAATACCTCAATCTGACTGATAGGCTAACATTTTAGGGTCCACTTAGAATTATAAAATGGTCTTTCTGTTCCATTGAAGACTATCTACTGAGCTATGCTTCAACTGTATGTAACAGGGAGTTATCAGGTAAGTCACACCAGCCTTTCATCTGTGACCAGCAGCCTGTCTTCTGCTATACCCCTGCCACGGGCAGCCATGGTGTGACCATGTGGGGTGAATAGGGTGTGAGGCTCTGGCTCACACAGTTCATTGAAGAGCTTCAGAGAACACACAGTTGCTGGGGGCACTACCTCTGGAACTGGAAGTTCTGTTCTAGAGCTGTGGAGGTTCCAAGTCAATAGGTTCCCCCTGTGAGGTATCAATTCCACCAAGGCTCAGGGAACCTTTCTCAAAAGCCTGGGTGTGTCCTGATTCTCTAAATCCTGCTCTTCTCACTCAGAATTCAGGAGCCACAGGTCAAGCTGAGGCCATGGGTTGTCTATTCCAGGACACCTGACCACTGAAGAGGTCTCAGGAAACTTCAAGCTGAACCAAGCTTTGGCTCTAGGTGCACTGGGCCCCGTGATTGGTGGTTGCCAAAGTGGCTGCTGAAGAGTCCCCAGCCTGTAGCTTGCCTGGTTTCCCATTACTGAACATCTAGCTGGGCTCATTGGGAAGGAGGAAGCTGGGAGAAAACAGGTCAGGTTGAATGGCCACCTTTTAGGTGATACAGCTTTTTGGGTCAAAACAAATCACTTCCTATTTTTTTCCTCAACTTTGTTTTAGGAAATGCACTGGAACCTATAACATATTATTAATCTCATTATACCTTTTCGGTGGTATGTCAAGTATTCCTGATAGTCATTCCTGGGTTGGAGGTGCAGTACATACACAATAAGAACATGACATTCTTTATATGGTTTTATGTTCTCCATGAATGAATAGGGTATCTCTGGTCCATAGTTATTAATATTTATCTGCAAAAGCCACATTTTCTATGTATTCATTTAGAATAATACATATATACATATACAGCACATTGTATTAAAACTAATCATCTATTTTAATATTTTACATATTATTGGTATAATAAAATTTATTATTTAAAAATAGTCATTCCTGCCCTCCCTGGTGGCGCTAACAGATAAGGATGCAGTACTGCAAGCTGGCTGCAGCCGCTTCAGTGCAAGTTCAATCCCCAGCCCCGGAGGTGACCCACTGGCACAGCAGACCTCTGCTGACTTGCCCGCTGCTCCCCTCAGCAGTGTACTTTGTCCATCTGCCTGTTCTACTCCCCACTCTGTCTCTGGTGAATCCTCTCAATGCCCCTGCACCTCTGGCCTGCACCCCAGTTTTGTATGTATAAATAAACAAATGTTTTTAAAAATAGTCATCGATTTCTGATCCATTAGAATGATTGGGGCGTTGAGCTCAAGGCTGAGACCACAGGTCAAGAAAGCAGCGTCTCTGTCCTCAGGTTTCTGTCAGCCCAGTGACTGTCTCCCAGTGATTTTCAAACATGAAGAACTTAAATATGTTTTGGAATTTCCACTCTCTACCAATAAAAAGTAAATGAGTAAATGTCTCCTACATGATAATTTGCTCAGTATGCAAAATATTACCTGTTTTCAGTCCACAAAAAGGTAGTGGAAAGGTTACTTTACTAGACTGTAAGCACCTTGAATTTGAGTTCAAGTTCTTTGGCTTAGTCACCAGTGTCTTCCTGCCACCTCTGCTTTCTGGACATTCCTGATGAGTGGATGTGTGGGGTTATGCCATCTCCCATGTAAATGTAGATGGAAGATACAGCCCCTCTCCTACAGATGCATTCATTTCCCCTACTACAGTGTTGGATTATGAAAAGTCCATTGTAAATGCTACAGTAGGAGTTACCCATCCAGCCTGAAGAACTAGATCCAGAGGAGCTGCATCTTTCCAGATGTGCAGATCAGGGGGTACAGACAGTGTACACCATGGGGCTGCCACCTACCCTGCTCAGCGTAGAGAACAGGATGAGGGAAGTTCCTGCATCACAGTGCTCTGCAAATAGCAGAAATTCACAACTCTCCAGAAGTTGTCTCTTTTAATAAATGTCCTTCAGGAGGATTGGATGTACCTGTTCGGAAATGGCTGTCCCTCTCTGGGCTTGTCTGACTTTCCCACCACAAAGTAAGAAAGAGCAAAATGATGCATATCTCTTCTCATCTGGAGTTCCTTAGCACCTACTTGTACTTATCCCTCCCTGTCACTAAGAAAAATTGTTTCCCTTCAGACCCCTATTGGTCTATTAGACTCCACCTATTGGTCAAGATACCTCCCTATCTTCACTTTCATGGTAGCAGGTTTTGAGGGGGCCCAGCAGGGAACCTGTGTCACTGCACTGAAGAAGCAGGAGCAGGTTAGGGTGGTGAGGGAAAGAAGGGGCAGTATGAAGGGAGTTCTCCAAGGGAATGCAGCCGAGGTTCTCTTTTATTTAAAAATCTCTCATCGGGCCCTCCCTGGTGGCGCAGCAGGTTAAAGCACAGCACTGAGAATCTAAAGCCGCTTCCGCATGAGTTCGATTCCCGCCTGCCCCGGAGGTGACCACATGGCGTGGCAGACCTCTCCTGACCCGCCCGCTGCTCCCCTCAGCAGTGTACTTCGTCAATCTGCCTGTTCTGTTCCCCACTCTGTCTCTGGTGAAGCCTCTCGCCGCCCCTGAGCCTCTGGCCTGTACCCCAGTTCTGTATGCACAAATAAATAAATCTTTAAAAAAAAAAATCTCTCATCGTGGTCCTATCCTACAGTTATGGTACTGAAGAATACAGGTGCTTCCTCAGTGTCAGCTAGAATGAGAGGTAGTGAGGCCCATGGACAGAGGCGCTCCATGGGTATCTCCTTAATAGCACTTGATTAGAAGGTTACACATGCAACTTCTTTGGGGCCACCCGAAGAAGACAATGAATCAGTTGCTCAAGCCTTGGACAACACACCTCTTACCTGATGACTTCAAATGGGCGACAGGATTTAGGTCTTGCCGGTCAAAAGGATAAACCAGTGCAAGGCAGCTGCAGAGGTATAAAAGTGCATGCAGTTTGTGTGGTGCCATCTTGGAAGCTGAGAAGTTTCAGCTTAACTTTCTTCAAAGCAGATGAATAAAGAGAGAGAGAGAGAGAAACATGCAATAGAGATTACTTACAAGCTGAGGAACCAGTGAGACTAAGGTACCAGTTACATGATTTGATATATATCAATCATAGTTTGGGAAAAAGTGGACATGCATTTACTGAGTTGGGCTTTTGATATGTGCGAGGAAGGTAGCAGGATCCTTCATTATGCTTTGTTATGTGGACTGGTGTTGGGGACCAAGGCCGGCATCTGGCGTCTGTCAGCAGTCATAAAAAGGTGAAATGGAGTCCGGATAGAGAAAAACATCCGGGTTGTAAAAGGCATGTGGGAAGAACTCCCTGCCCCCACCTTTTCCTTCTCCTCTTTCTTTTCTCACGCACCTATTATCAAAACACTGCTCCATTATCAAAACACTGCTCCATTCTCGCCCATTTTTGGCCTTCGCGAGAACCATTTTATCAAGCACTGCTACTTGTCTAGTGTCCATTGGCTTTCTCCCTGCCCGACTTCTGCATCCCCCACCTCTTGTATTTTATATAAAACAGATAAAAACAAAATACACTCTCTCTTTGTTCTGATACACCCATGTGACTGTTTCTTTTTGTTCGCTGGACCTGGGGCCCTGACTCCCCGGCCTTGCAGGTTCAAGGCCCCCCGCAGACTGGGTAGAGCACAAAAATAACACTTTTAGTCTGTTGCATTAGTTTTATTTGGTCCTTAACTCTGTAACTTTGTAGTGGTATAGTCTGGTTATGAAGAAAAATATCAAAGTAGGAACAGTCACATGCTAATCATAAGCATATCCAGCACATCCATAAGCATATCCAGCACATCGCAACTCTTAAGTTTTGGTGAATGCTTCCACTATAATTATAAAATAATCATATTGTTGCAGTTGTGGTTGTTTCAACATTGCAGATCTTGTATTTTTGGTGGTCCTTATAATCCTTCTACACTGAATGCTTCCCAAAGGCAGAGGTCCAGTATGACTTGCCTAACAGAGGGCTTGGAAGACAGTTAATACTGAATAAATATTTTTAGACTCAATGAGTAACATGGGACTCATGGCAACAACACAATATATTATAATGGGGCTCTATGCTAATATCCCATTAGCAGAAAACTCTGTGCATCACGTTTTCCCTTTAAAACTTCTCTCCTCCAACTTTTGGGGTGCAAGTCATTAGCACCTCTCTCATGAACTTTGGCAATAACCTCTAACCAGTCTTGGCCAACTTACCAGCCAAAGTGACTATGACACTCCTTTTCTCAAAACTCTCAAATGACTTCAAATCTTACAGAAAAAAGTATTAGGTCTTCAGGTAACCTAAAAGCAGCCAACACGCTAAGTCTACACTTCTAAGTCTCTACAGTCTGCACTCAGTGGACTCCTAATCCTACCCTTGCATACTCACTGGAACCCCGCTGGCTTCCTTGCCATTCACCAAGCATGCCAGGCCCTCTTCCTCAGCGCTCTGTGTGACTCCTTTTCCAGAAAGGCTCCTTGCCCTGACATCCAAGAGACTGGCTCCCTCACAATTCTATTTTTGTTTCCATATTACCTTCTCACGGAGGCTTTCCTGATCAATTTAAAATTATAGTTCAGCCCCCTTCTCTACACCAATACAAGCCCTATGTCCCCCACTATTTATTTTTCTCTAGAACATTTCTCACAAACGAACACACTCTGGGCATTATTTGTTAACTGTTTATCTTCCCCAACTGGAAAGTCAGTTCTGTTTGTGAGAGAAATGTTGACAATTCCTCCACCCCCAATCCCGCCATTGTATTCTTAAGATATAGAATAGCTTGGCACTGTGGAATGAGTGAATTCAGATTCCTAGTGGTTTCTAACACACATGGTTACTAACAAAAACCAAGCCAAGTTTGATAACCCGTTGAATGTTGGTGCTCTTGATACAATGGGATAATAACTAGTTGACAGGGTGATTGTGTAAGAAAATATAAACATAGAACTATAACATAGGCAGTTAGAACTCGGGAATGTCTCTGTGCTCCCTCACATTTCCTGGCCTTCCTATGACTGGACTGGGGCCACAGGACTGATTTCTGATAAATGGACTTATAAATGGATAGGGTCTGAGACACTTAAGAGTCATTATGTCTTGTCCATCCCTTCCTTTCCCTGATGCAGTAAACTCAGAAGTCATAGGTGGTGTATCAAGACAGAGCCCTCTGAATAGAGAAGGGCTCCATGAAATATCGCCTTTTGTGAGCAGGAAATAAACCTTTGCTTTGTCAAGTCACAGAAGTTTCTGGATTAAGTTGTGGCATCATTGCAACACACAGTGGTTTAATATGACTAATCTCAGTTCTGTAGTCATGCAATCTGTGGATGTTTACTAAGCAAATACAACCCACCATCAGCTATGTCATTAGTTGTAAATACTGGAGAATTGGACATACTCTTTTAGGTTAAATAGTTTACATTGGTTTTGAAACAAGATTAGTACATAGGATACAGAAAGAAAAAACTTGCAGGAACATTGCAAAAATGATTTGGGTAGCAAATTCTTAGGGCAAAAAAGAACTCAGAGAAAAAGATTTCTGAGGAGATAGGCTGTAACAAGGTCTGCTCTGACCAGAATAATTCGCATCCAGACAAGTCACTGGGGAAATTGTAACTGGTGCTCTAGGTTTGGGTTATTTGGAGGGTGGTCAGGTTTCCATGTGTGTGTGTGTTAGTCAGAATACTATGAATAATCGCTCTAACTTATAAGTTTAGTTCATTTTTGTTTTGTTTTCGTATTATTTGAAATTCTATTGTAAATGTAATCCATGATTTTAAAAACTCAAATATGACAGGATAAAGTCAATAAAAATCTGACCTGTGTCTTCATAGATGATCACTTCTAACATATTTTTTTCCAGATGTCTTTCTCCACTTGAATACACACACAAACCTATCAGTGCAAACTACATACACATATTGTTTTTTAATTTATTTACAAAACTTCACACTATCTACCCCGTTTGGGTCTATAGTTTAATACTAAGTTATAGTATCTTTTTCATGAGTACACAGCACCATATTTGAACTTTTTGTTTTAAAATGGCATTTAGGAATTGCTCAAAAGAAGTTTCTTTACTTAATGGATAATCTTGCTAACAGTTGAAGACATATTATATGCCAAGTATTTTGCAATAGCTATCAACACATGATATCTTATGCAATCATTACAAAACAATCTGAGAGGAAGGCTTAATGATACCCATTATGTTGATATGGAAATGGGGACCCCCGGAGTTTAACAGACTTGTCCCAATGACTCAGCACGCAAGTGCTTGAGCCCAGAATGGCCAAGTCCTTGCTTGTAACCACAGTATAACAACTTCGTGTAGCATCAGTTTCTGATTAATATCACCTGATGCCACAATCTTCTAGAACAATTATTTTAATGGCATGAAGACATTTAAGAACTGTTTCTGGTAGTGAGAAAATGACAAGTTAGAAATTGTTCTGTAGAGATCAGGCTGTCTCCTTATTCTTGCTTTAAACTATAAGACCCTTGGAAACTGCAAAACATGCTATGGACTCAGAGAAACAGCTACGGTTTCCCAAATAAGGGAGAGAAAAAGCTGAGTAAAGGCAAGCTCTCTGCTCACCAGCTTCCACCACCATGCTTGGTTGTTCTGTCACAACTTGATTATTCATCAAATAACTTCATCTGCAGAAAGCATCTAAGGACATGAACAGGGGACTTTAGAAAATGTCATCCCTGCTAATGACAACCTATGCCTGATTAAGAGGCACGCCATTCAGCTCATTTGGAAGATCACTGGGGATGAAGAGGAGAAAATAGAAGTTAAAATGAAACACGTAAGATCAACAGCGATATTTAGGAGTGTAGCCCTGATCCAAAGCTTAACTTGTACCTCCCTGGTATTTGCCACATCTCCCTGTTAAGGACCTCAGGAAAAATTAGCGATGGCCAACTGCCGACAACGCATCCCCAAGTTCTCCAAACAGAACTCGGTTGATAACCCTCTTACTTGGGGCCTTCCTAAGCAAGCACTAGAAAGCTACAGCAGTCACTGCAGCACGAGTTTGATCCCCAGCCAAGGATGTGACCTACATGGCACAGCAGAGCTCTCCTGTCTCACCCACTGCTCCCCTCAGCAGTGTATTTCAATCAATCCATCAGTCTGCGCTCCCTTCTGTCTCCTCTCACCCTCCTCCCGTGCCTCTGGCCTGTACCCCAGTTCTTGTATGCATAAATAAATAAATCTTGAAACATACACACACAACTCCTCTGGGTTGGAGCAGGCAAGGCAGAATCAGAGTCAGGGGAAATGGCACAAGTGGGTCCCCTACATGACCTCATGGAAGTTGCAAAGCATTTTGGGGAACCTCTTGAAGATACTAATTGTCTGGCCCCAGCCCAGACCTGCTGACGTAGGCTCTTCAGATGGTAGGTCAGGGCATCTGTATTTGGACTTCCTTGGGATTCTGATATAGCCAATCCCAGGATTTAGTGCCTGGGTCCAGCAATCCTGAAAAAACATCTGTGCATGCCAACCGGAGCAAGATGACGCAAACCCTACAAATTTAGACACTTTTTCCATTTATCTCTGTCTCCTTGTTATTATAAAACACCTTCATAATGCCTTTGATTGTTATAAAAAGGTTTCCTTGGTTAACCCACAAGAATGTTTTGACTTAATGGTCTTGCTAAACAAAGACCTGGTCAGAAACTCTTTACGACCCCATCTGTGTTGCCCCTGCTTCTCACACACACACACACACACACACACACACACACACACACACACACACACAATCTCTCTCTCCAGCCTCAGCCTCAAGACCCAAGGTGAGTCTCTCTTGAATTTGCCCTTACTCTTTCTTGAGTATATAATATTGTCTGCAATAAAAGCCTCACTTTTTTTTAATTTTTAGTTCTGACCTTATTTTTTACTTTTTAAAAAATTGCTGTTGTAGTATCATTACTGTGCATCCTTGCCAGTGTTCTACAGAGTAAGACCCCCTTCCTGGGTGTAGTGACAGTAGCCCCATCACAGCTCCAGTCCTCCACAATAGTCCATTGTGTTCTCACATCTAACTCACCTACTCTCACTCCTGCAGGCATTTTTTCCTGCTCTGAAGTCAAGAGCCTCCAGGCCCCTCAGCACACCAGAGGCCCTATCACATCCACTACCAAAGTTTCCCTGTAACCAGGGAAGGAGAAATTCTCAGGGCCTGGCAGAGCAAGGCCACCAGAGAAGGTACTTCCCACATCAGCCAACAGAGGCTTGCCTGTACCAGACAGAGGCTGTCTCTTCTACCCTGGCAGGGTTCTCTGTCCCTTTCAGCATTTTCACACCCAAGGGCAACACTCTTTACAGAATTGCTTCACCCAGGAGACTATGAGGTGCCCCAGGGCAGGGATGGGTCTCATTTGTCTTTGATTACTGCTGCTTAACAAAGGGCCCAGCTAATTACCAGCACTAGCAAAAGATTCTTGAATGAGGATGAAGTCTGTCTTCTGAATGGTTTGGGCCAGCAACACAAGCTCAGCTCATTTAGTACCAGGTTGGGCTACTCAATACACTAACAAGGGATAATGTGGACTGCTAGGTTTAAAACCCACAGCCAATGGGATTCTGGCCTTGACACTGGTGTTGCAAAGTCCTGTAACTATGAAAACCCTTGTGCCTTGTTTCCTCACCAGCTAAATGGGGCTGAGGATGATAGCAGTACCCAATATTAAATGATAAATCTATGCAAAACAGTGTATTGGCAAATACATAAATGCAAACATGAGCAGACTCATTCTGCATTCCTAGCATCCAGTATTGGGCATAAATCTAACAGTTTGAGCCCCACTCAGTAAATTGCTAAGGTGTCATTCAAGACCTGGAGATAGGAATAGGGAGACTTTTTTCTCTGCTGATTAAAGTCACTTCTTGGTCGTCATCCCTTTTATCCATAGTTGTTCTGTTGAAAAGATCTTATGAGTTATTGAAAATTTCTTAACTTTCCCTAAGCAGTATAATTTTTATTTCTTATTTCTTGGGAGCTTTTGTGTTCACTGCTTTTTTCCTCCTATTTCATATGCCTGGAATGGTCTGGGCCACTTCTTGCCTCTCCAAACTTATTGAAAGTTCCACACACTAAGCTTCTTACTCAGGGTCTCAAGCAGACAACTTAATCTAACAGTCCTGGGTGTTCCAAGAGTTTTTGTTAATTAGCTTCCAAATAATAAATCATCAAATAAAATATCAAAGCCTCCAAAATTCACTCAAAAGGAAAGATCCACATGCTATTGGGAACAAAGTGGGACTTTTCATGTCCTCTAAATCAGGTTCTGTGGCAGTGACAACTCTGGTTCCCAGGTGCCTGCTGAGGAGAATCAGGTAGCGAGGTGTGCTCTGGGGTGCAGCTGTGCTGTGAAGAGTCTCCACATCAGGAGCTTGAATCATTCAGGGCATGGTCTGTGATAGAAGTCCTGTGTTTGAGGGAGGTATGTGGCATACCACTTCTCATATTAGAATTGAAAATAAAAATGGAACAACTATTTTCTTTGAAAATGAATTTCTCTCTGTATTTAAAAAACACTATATCAAAGTCCTCTCTCAGAGATTTAATAGTGAAACAGTCTATACACCAAGTCTTATCAAAACTAAACTGTCATTATGGCAAAAATTTAAAGAAGGAATAAAATTTTTTAAAAATAAAATCTAATTTTTTATTTATGAATACACAACTGGGGTATAGGCCAGAGGTGTGGGCAGTGAGAGGATTCACCAAAGACAGTGGGGAGCTGAAAAGGCAGATGGACAAAGAATACTGCTGAAAGGAATAGCAGGCAGGTCAGGAGAGGTCTGCTGTGCCATTTGGGTCACCTCCAAGGCCAGGGATCGAAATTGCACTGAGGTGGCTGTGGCCAGCATGCAGTGCTGCGCCCTGACCTGCTGCGCCATGAGGAAGGGCCCAAATTAAGAAGGTTTAATATGCACTGTTTAGTTTGTTTTCTACATTTTTCTAAAATCTTGGACCAAGAAGAAGTCATGACAAAACATGCTTCTGAACATGCAGATACCTTTTAACAGCCTGTTAGATAAGGTAGTTGTCTGTTGAGAAGCAGAGTAAATAGATAATACTGTAGAACTTCTGATCAGCGGTTCACAAGGCATCTGAGAAGACTTGATGATTTCTAGGACCTCAACTAGTTATTTGGTTTTGTTTGGTTTGATATATGGCAGAAAACTCTTTAGGATAAAGGAAAGAAATATTTTGACTTTCTAAACCTTGATTACTAGTCTAGTCCAAGGTATAAATAAAAAAAAAGGTGATAAGACATAAATAACCTGTTACTAAGCACCTACGATGAGCCAGGACTCTAGTTAGGCAAAAGGAGGAAGTTAGGCAGGCACATCACCTCTGTTTTATAAGTAAACACACTGTCACTTGGGAGACTGGCTGAGTGATAGGGGGATTCAGAGACTTGACCAAGAGCTCAGCCCTCTGAGGTATATTAGAAAAATACAAATTAGGAAAAAAATCCATTTTTTAAGCTTTATCTTGATGCATACAAGAGCTGGGGTATGGGACAGAGTTGTGGGGGTTGGGGGGAATGAGTAAGTATTCACCTGAGACAGAGTAGGGAGCAGAATAGGCAGAACAAGCAGACTGACTGAAATACACTGCTGAGGGGAGCAGCAGACAGGTGAGGAGAGGTTTGCTGTGCCATGTGGTTCGCCTCCCTGGCAGGGGATTGAACTGCTACAGTGGCTGCAGATAACTTCACAGTACTGTGACTTAAGCCTTGCACCACCAGGAAGGCCCATAAAAAAATAAAAAATCAAGACAAGTACTGGCATACTTGAAAATTTGGAGAAGATATCTGTAGAAAAGCATGACTTTGTTAGAATATTTCAATCAGAAATACCTGGGACTGAGTGATTTAAAGCAACAGGGACATGAGCTTTATGCTGTAGAGCCTTGTATTGTCTTTCTCATGAATGGCATGTAGAGGATGAGAACACTAGTATGTGCAGTCTACTGGTGTTTCAAAGTCTTCATCCCACTTTGGCTGAGTGCTGAGGAGGCATGAGAAGACAGGAAGTTCTTCAAATGCTATCAGAAGCCAGAGAGACTGACAGGCAGATTCAGAGCAAGTTCAATTCTGGTCAGAAGACAGAGGAAGTCCTCTGCCTGTACCCCAGTTCTGTATGAACAAATAAATAAATCTTTAAAAAAAATAAATAAAATAAAATTTCTTACTTATATGTTCCCCCAGAATCCTTAACAATATACTCCTCTGATTTCTAATCCATTTTTCTAATTTCATTTTTTATGTAAATTGTTTTCAGTGTTTTACATGATTTTATTATAAACAACCACCAATCCCCTATGGAGGTAATATACATTTTTGGTGAATGTGACCAAGTTATTCCCATTCTGTTAGGAGGAAAACAGCTCTTCTTGCTTTTCTGTACAAAGAACTACTATAACAGGTCACAAGTCACAGGGTTCCTTGAACACTGGCTCTTTTATCTACAGATAGTCATTGAGATATCTAAGAGGATGAACACGAGGCTGCTGAATATGAACACAGAGGAATTATTCATAAGATAGATTTTAGCCTCAAAGTTCTCTATCCACAGAAAAGTGCCTTTTTCTCAACCAGGGGATATGGGTTAACTAGAAATGCATTGATATTTGAGAACTTAGAACCTTGAAAAGCCTAGTATTGACTGTGGGCATTTCTCTTAGAACTGGAGATCCAAGATGAGAATACTAAAGCGTTTGACACAGCAGTCCTCATAAAGGCAAAATGTAGGACAATCAAGCATAGGCTAACATAAAAAAGTTTAACTGGCCACACAGAGCAATAACTGGTAAAGTACACTGCAAAATTTACCAAAACAACGTCAGCTATCTAGTGAGGATAGAAAAAAATAAAACCTTTGATGTTTTTGCCAAATTTCTGAAATGAACACACAAAAAATCTTATACTCTGGGAAATAAAACAATAAAATTATTCCCACTGACTAACAGCCAAGACACACATATACCCACTCAGAAACTCTATAGATGTCAAATAATAAGGGAATCGTCAATGGGGTTTTATTGTTATTAATGTAATTTAGAAACTATTTACAATGCAATTTTAATGGGAAGAAACTTATGAAATTGCAAAAATTCTTACCATAAAGACAATATCATATGAGCCCTGAAATTATGTGTTTTTCCCCCACAATAGTTCACACTTTTATAATCAACTATACTGCTTTATTAATTTTAAAAGGATATTTTAAGAGTCTATGGGCCTTCCTTGTGGTGCAGGGATTAAAGTTTCAGTGCTATCAAGCTGTCCCAGCCATTGTGGTCTGAGTTTATTAATCCCTGGCCAGGGAGACGACTGGCTTGGCACAGCAGACCTCTCCTGTCCCATCTGTTCCTCCCCTCAGCAGTGTATTTTGGTGTATTTGCCTGTTCTACTCCCCATTCTGTCTCTAGTGAACCCCCTTAACAGCCTTCCCCAAAACTCTGGCCTACACTACAGTTCTTGTATGCATAAATCAATAAAAATAAATGAATAGGGCCCTCCCTGGTGGCACAGTGGGTTAAAGTACAGCACTAAGAAGCTAAAGCCACGTCAGCATGTGTTCAATCCCCAGCCCTAGAGGTGAACCACATGGCACAGCAGACCTCTCTTGACCCACCCGCTGCTCCCCTCAGCAATGTATGATCTGCCTATTCTGCTCCCCACTCTGTTTTCTCTGGTGAATCCTCTCACTGCCCCTGCACCTCTGATCTGTACCCCACTTCTGTATGTATAAATAAATAAATCTTTAAAATAAATAAATAGAGTTTGTATGGTCATGGAAAAATGTTTATGTTCAGCATTAAGTAAAAATGTAATACAGGCCCTCCCTGGTGGCGCAGCCGGTTAAAGCACAGCACTGAGAATCTAAAGCCGCTTCCGCATGAGTTCAATTCCTGCCTGCCCGGAGGTGACCACATGGTGCGGCAGACCTCTCCTGACCCGCCCCCTGCTCCCCTCAGCAGTGTACTTCGTCGATCTGCCTGTTCTGCTCCCCACTCTGTCTCTGGTGAAGCCTCTCACCACCCCTGAGCCTCTGGCCTGTACCCCAGTTCTGTATGCACAAATAAATAAATATTTTAAAAAAATGTAATACAGAGTATTATCCATGATCAAGCTACATAAATGAGGAGGAGGAGATGACAAGAATAATGAAAAACAAAATAGATTAAAAGAACTAACATATTTATAAAGTTTGCACCTTTAAAGAGCTTTACATAGCGGCCCTCCCTGGTGGCGCAGCGGGTTAAAGCACTGAGAACCTAGAGCCACTTCCGCATGAGTTCGATCCCCGCCTGCCCCGGAGGTGACCACATGGTGTGGCAGACCTCTCCTGACCCGCCCGCTGCTCCCCTCAGCAGTGTGCTCCGTCGATCTTCCTGTTCTGCTCCTCCCTCTGTCTCTGGTGAAGCCTCTCACCCTCCGCATCTGACCTGTACCCCAGCTCTATATGAATAAATAAATAAATCTTTAAAAAAAAAAAAAAAAGAGCTTTACATAGCTAGAAACTAAATTTTATTCTTCTTTCTACTTTTCTGTCTTTGAATATTTTAAATCAATGAAACTATTTAATTTAAAAATCAGTTGTTGTTTTTTTTAATACTAAAACCTGAAAATCATTTCATTCAATGTTCTGGACACTAATAAAATATCCTGGCAGATCAAGAAAACCTTTACTAAGAGAACACTTTAATATATTTGAAACTTAATGTTATTTTGAAGTGTCTTTTCTTCCATGCATTTCATGTCTACCAGTGAAGCCACAGTTTCCTTCTTACTCTTCAATATCAGTTAAGATCTCCATCTGCTATCTTAACCTCCTAACTTCATTTCCTCCTTTCTGTCATTGTTCAATTCCCATCAGGTATCATTTCCCTCTTTGAAACAAAAGAAAAACAAACAACAGGCAAGATGGCCACTATCATGTCCAGAATTTCTGTGAAGAGCTAATGATCCTTGTGAAGCCCAATCCTAGCAGAGGTTAGAGAGCGTGCCTTAACTGTTGCTATTGGTAAAGAGAAAATAAATTACCCTCTCAAGGATATCAGCACTCTGTCAGATTCTTTCTGATTAACTTTGAATCTGGGTATACAGTAAGCAGAATTATAATACCCCTTCCCTCCCCTAGAAATGGCCAGATTCTTCCTCATATCCTATGTTTATTGCAGCACAATTTATAGTCAGTAGGACATGGAGGCTACCTAAATGCCATCAGTAGAAGCCTGAAATTAAGACAATGTATTATATCCACAGGGACTACTGAAGAGACTACCATTCAGTTAGAAAAAAAGATGAAATGTTGATATTTACAGCCAAATGGAAGAAGGTTGAGGGAATGAGCTATAGTAAAGCAAATCAAAATGGAAAAGACATACATTGGACTTTTAAATAGCAGATGATTCCACAAGGCAAACCACCATACAATCTAGCATCCGTATCCTCTAGACTATGCTATGTTACATGGCAAAGGGATTTTGGTTATAGATGGAATTAAAGCTACTGATCAGTCAACTGCAAAACAAGGAGGGCCTTTAAGCAGACTTAAAAGTGGAAGAGTGTGACAGAAGAGGAATTCTAAGAGGTGAGATGAAAGAGCTCAACCCACCATTGGTGGCTTTGAATGGAGTCAAGGTATGAGAGAGACCTCTAGAATCTGGAGAATGTAAGGAGACATTCTTGAGAGTCTCCAGAAGAAAAGCAGTCCCCAAGATGGCTTACCTTTAATCCATTGAGGCTGTGCTAGACATCTGACTTACAAAACTCTAAGATAGTAAATTTCTGTTTTAAGCCCACCAATAAGTGATCATTTATTATAGCAACAATAGAAAACTTACACAGAATGAGCTGAGAAAACACATAGTAGGTCAATTTATTTTCAACTAAAGTCAAAGACAGTGACTAAAACATCTCAAAATTAAGATTTGGAATATTTCTGACCAATAGAATCCCACACCTTATTCTAAAAATAACAAATAAAATATACATCTCAAAATTAGCCCAATAAAAAACTAACAGAGGAAGAAGATAAAGTTTGCTTTAGAGACGTACGGCAGGATGAAGGCAGGAGATTATCAATATTCCAACCTTTCTTTTTTTTTTTAAGATTTATTTATTTATGCTTACAGAACTGGGGTAAAGGCCAGAGGTGTGGTGGGTGAAAGGGTTCACCAGAGACAGAGGGAGAAGCAGAATAGGCAGACTGACAAAGTACACTGCTGAGGGGAGCAATGGGAGGGTCAAAAGAGGTCTGCCGCACCATTTGGGTCAGCTTCCTGACTGGGGATCGAACTCGTGCTGCAGTGGCTTAGGAGAGCTTCATAATGTGGTACTTTAACCCGTTGCACCACCAGAGAGAGCACATCCAACCTTTATTTCTAACTAATTAACTCTATCTTTTTGATTGAGTTATCTTTTCCTTCTGTTTTTCATTAGAGTTATATTTTCATCCTGTGAATATTCAAAAATTACAGAAAGGTATAACACTGAAAGTTCAAATTTTTAAACTTTCTACCTTTCCCCTCCTCTGCTTAAGCACTACTTAAAACTTCATAATTTAGATGTAAGTGACCTCCTATCCTTTTCTCTAAGTATTATTTTCCCCACCACCATCCCTATATATAACTTTCTCCCTGTGCCCTTAATTTCAGAAACCTCACTTTATTAATTCCTGCTGGACTTTAGAGTATTTTGCTTTGTGGAATTACCTGCTATTTAAAAGCCCATTATATATCTTAGTCCTGATGATTTGCTTTACTATATATAATTCCCTCAAACTCTTTTCTATTTTGCTGTAAATGGCAACATTTCATCTTTCCTTAGTACTGAATATAACACATCTTAACACATCTTCTATCAATGAGTATTTAAGTTGCTTCCGGTGACCTAGCTACTGTAAACTGTACTGCAATAAACATTTTAGATCATATAAATATTTGAGTTGCTGGTTTCATGTTATTTGGAGAGGTGCCCAACAGTGGGATTTCCAGGTCACAGATATTTCCATTTTTTTTTTTTTAGCATGAATCCACATCTACAAACAATATTTTCAAACCAGCTTGTTTGTATACTCTAGTTTGATTAGAAAACAATGTTTACTTCATTCTGAAACAGACTAAAGG